AGACAGGGGCAGACAGGAGCAGACAGGAGCAGGAGCAGGAGCAGACAGGAGCAGACAGGAGCAGACAGGAGCAGACAGGAGCAGGTAGAGCAGACAGAGCAGACAGGAGCAGACAGGAGCAGGAGCAGACAGGAGCAGACAGGCAGACAGGAGCAGTAGGAGAGCAGACAGGAGCAGACAGAGCAGACAGAGCAGAGCAGACAGGAGCAGGAGCAGACAGGAGCAGACAGGAGCAGTAGGAGCAGACAGAGCAGACAGGAGCAGACAGGGGCAGACAGGAGCAGACAGGAGTAGACAGGAGCAGACAGGGGCAGACAGGGGCAGACAGGAGCAGAGTCAGGAGGGACAGTAAATACTTGGGTGTAAACATCATCAGAACTGTATAAAGAAGTGAACTTAGTAAAACGTCACGGTGTTTGCCTCCAGTCAAATGAAGCTCATCAAGGGTGGCAGTTCTAGGAGCAAGAGTTTTACATGCGAAATAGAAATGTATTTACAGACAAAAATGGTAAAATAAAAACTTCAGGATCATTTAGGTTTAATATCATAGACTAGCAATAGACTAGTAATTTAGTACTACTACTGACGGTGCATTGATAGTATTTAAAGTACTTTAGGAAGAGTAATAGTAATAGTACAATTACTGAGGGTGCATTGATAGTTAGTATTTATAGTACTTTAGTACTAGTACTAGTACTGACGGTGCATTGACTGACAGGACCTGTGTCGTCAGCACATGGCGTCCAAAGGAGCGTTCGGTCGTCTGGAGGCGGCGGCTTTGGGCGCAGTGGGCGGAGCCGGCGGAGGAGGAGGCGGGGCCGGCGGAGGAGCAGTAGGCGGGGCTTACGGAGGAGCTGTGGGAGGAGCTTACGGAGGCGCCGTGGGCGGAGCTTATGGCGGCGCGGCGGGCGGGGCCGACTCCAGAGTGAGCAGCGTCTCGTCTCAGTTCAGTGAAGGAGCTCAGGCCAGTCCCAGCTCCCACAGCAGCACCCCCTCCTGGTGCGAGGAGCCGGCGCAGGCCAACATGGACATCAGCACGGGTCACATGATCCTGGTGAGACGCCCGTAACACTCTGAGCGCAAAGTACCAGCACCAGTCACTGTGGGGAGATTTAGAAGAGCAACAACAACATTTAGATTTTTTGTTGTCATGAGCTTCAAATGTTTTACATTTTTTTGAATCATTAATTTAACTTTAACTTGTTGTTTTCAGTCCGACATCTGACAGGTGCTGTGTTCTCCCAGGTGCTGTTTATCTGACAGGTGCTGTGTTTTCTCCTGTAGGCTTACATGGAGGACCACCTGAGGAACAAGGACCGCCTCCTGCAGGAGTGGCAGGCGCTGTGCTCGTACCAGGCTGAGCCCAGCGCCATGGCAACGGCTCAGAGCGACGCCAACGCCAAGAAGAACCGCTGCCCCGACTCCCTGCCCTGTGAGTATCAGCTCCGTCTACACTCCCTGCCCCGTACAGAAGAGATAAATGAAGTCGTGTAGTTCATATTACAGGACGACGAGTCAGACAGCAGTAAAATAATGTCACACTATAAACATTAAACCCTGTATGATACGAAACAGGATACGATTAAACTATTAATATATAAAGTTATACAGCAGTTCTATATATTAACAGTTTAATACTGTGTGTCTTAATGACTCAGTATTAAACATGCTTCTATCTTTTATTTATTCAATTTCCTGTTTCTATAATCTTGTCTCATACTGTGAAAATTTCCTGTCAAAGCGATAACATTTCTGTGGAAGTAAGAACTGACAATTAGACGAGCCGCTCCCCGACTCTCAGGCCTGACTCATAATGTTTACCACAAAAACAAACCCAGATTTTCCTGTGTATTTCTTTCATATTTGTTGTGTTTCTCTCTGCAGACGACCACGCCCGAGTGAAGCTCAAAGCCGAGATTAACCCTTCACGCTCCGACTACATCAACGCCAGCCCCATCGTAAGTCCTGATCTACATAACCAGCTCCACTATCGTCCTGCTATTTCTTTAGTCCTGGCATCATGCTGTTTCAATACGTAAGAAATAGAAACACTAATTTCTCTGATACAAATATGAAACTGTGTTCTGCAGCCTTTTACCATCTGAAAAACAGAGCAAAAATCAAAGGTTTAGTGTCTAAATCAGACTTGGAGAAACTTATCCATGCGTTTGTCTCCAGTAGGTTAGATACTGTAATGTTCTGCTCACTGGTCTCTCCAAACGAGCTGTGAGACGCTGCAGAACATCCAGAACATCCAGAACATCCACAACATCCACAACATCCACAACATCCACAACATCCAGAACATCCACAACATCCACAACATCCACAACATCCAGAACATCCACAACATCCACAACATCCAGAACGCTGCAGCTCGGGTCCTGACTCGAACTAGGAAGTACGAGCACATGTGTCCTGGTCTCAGGTCTCTGCTCTGGCTCCTGTGGCTCAGAGACTTTAAAGCGTCTCTGTTTGTACAAGTGTCTCCATGGCCGAGCACCAAAGTCCATCTGTGACATGTTAGTGTCATATGAACATCTCACACTCTGAGGAGCTCAGGGACCGCCTCCTGCTGGTGCCCAGAGTCACGACTAAACAAGGGGAGTCAGAGTTTCAGGTTCATGCAGCTAAAACCTGGAACAGTCTGAACATGTGAGACAGACTCTTCTGTGACGCTGTTTAAATCCAGACTCTAAACATTTCTGTTTAACTGTGCAAATAACTGAAAGGTTTTCATTCTGCACTCTTCTCTCCAATTTATGTCTCTCTTTTTTAATTTTAATCTTCATGATTATTTATGTTTTGATTAGTTTTTATTATGATTTTAATGTATTTCTTATTCTGTAAAGCACTTTGAATTACTTTGTGTACGAATTGTGCTGTACAAATAAACTTGCCTTGTTTTATGTTGTGTTTTTTCAGATTGAGCATGATCCTCGGATGCCCGCGTACATCGCCACCCAGGGCCCCCTGTCCCACACCATCTCCGACTTCTGGCAGGTGCGCACAAGGTTTGGAGGACGTTTTTCGTGGCAGTGTGCTCACTGGTGTGTGTGTGTTTGTGTGTGTGTGTGTGTGTGTGTGTGTTTAGATGGTTTGGGAGCACGGCTGCACCGTCATCGTGATGCTCAGTGCTCTGGTCGAGGACGGAGAGAAACAATGTGACCGATACTGGCCCGACGAAGGATCCTCCCTCTACCACATCTACGAGGTACAAGACTCTGACCTCTGACCCTCTGACCCTCTGACCCTCTGACCCTCTGACTCTCTGACCCTCTGACCTCTGACCCTCTGACCCTCTGACCCTCTGACCTCTGACCTCTGACCCTCTGACCCTCTGACCCTCTGACTCTCTGACCCTCTGACTCTGACTCTCTGACTCTCTGACTCTCTGACTCTCTGACCTCTCTGACCCTCTGACTCTCTGACCTCTGACTCTCTGACTCTCTGACCCTCTGACCCTCTGACTCTCTGACTCTCTGACTCCTCTCTGACTCTCTGACCCTCTGACTCTCTGACTCTCTGACTCTCTGACCCTCTGACCCTCTGACTCTCTGACCCTCTGACTCTCTGACTCTCTGACTCTCTGACTCTCTGACTCTCTGACCCTCTGACCCTCTGACTCTCTGACCCTCTGACTCTCTGACCCTCTGACCCTCTGACTCTCTGACCCTCTGACCCTCTGACCCTCTGACCCTCTGACCTCTGACTCTCTGACCTCTGACCCTCTGACCCTCTGACTCTCTGACTCTCTGACCCTCTGACCCTCTGACTCTGACCCTCTGACCCTCTGACCCTCTGACCTCTGACTCTCTGACCCTCTGACTCTCTGACCCTCTGACCCTCTGACCCTCTGACTCTCTGACCCTCTGACCCTCTGACCCTCTGACCCTCTGACCTCTCTGACCCTCTGACCCTCTGACCCTCTGACCCTCTGACCTCTGACTGACTCTGACCCTCTGACCCTCTGACTCTCTGACTCTCTGACCCTCTGACCCTCTGACCTCTCTGACCCTCTGACCCTCTGACCCTCTGACCCTCTGACTCTCTGACCCTCTGACCCTCTGACCCTCTGACCCTCTGACTCTCTGACCCTCTGACCCTCTGACCCTCTGACCCTCTGACCCTCTGACTCTCTGACCCTCTGACTCTCTGACCCTCTGACCCTCTGACCTCTGACTCTCTGACTCTCTGACTCTCTGACTCTCTGACCCTCTGACCCTCTGTCTTCCTCCTCTCCTCTGACCCTCTGACCCTCTGACCCTCTGACCCTCTGACCCTCTGACCCTCTGACTCTGACCTCTGACCCTCTGACCCTCTGACTCTCTGACCCTCTGACCCTCTGACTCTCTGACCTCTCTGACTCTCTGACCCTCTGACCCTCTGACTCTCTGACCCTCTGACTCTCTGACCCTCTGACTCTCTGACCCTCTGACCCTCTGACCATCTGACCCTCTCGTCTTCCTCCTCTTCCTCGTCTTCCTCTTCTGACCCTCTCGTCTTCCTCGTCTTCCTCTTCTGACCCTCTGACTCTCTGACTCTCTGACCCTCTGACTCTCTGACTCTCTGACCCTCTGACCCTCTGACCCTCTGACCCTCTGACTCTCTGACCTCTGACCCTCTGACTCTCTGACCCTCTGACCCTCTGACCCTCTGACTCTCTGACCCTCTGACCCTCTGACCTCTGACCCTCTCGTCTCTCTCCTCCTCTTCCTCTTCTGACCCTCTGACTCTCTGACTCTCTGACCCTCTGACTCTCTGACTCTCTGACCCTCTGACCCTCTGACCCTCTGACCCTCTGACTCTCTGACCCTCTGACTCTCTGACCCTCTGACCCTCTGACTCTCTGACCCTCTGACCCTCTGACTCTCTGACCCTCTGACCCTCTGACCATCTGACCCTCTCGTCTTCCTCCTCTTCCTCTTCTGACCCTCTGACTCTCTGACCCTCTGACCCTCTGACCCTCTGACCCTCTGACCCTCTGACTCTCTGACCCTCTGACCCTCTCGTCTTCCTCCTCTTCCTCTTCTGACCCTCTCGTCTTCCTCGTCTTCCTCTTCTGACCCTCTCGTCTTCCTCCTCTTCCTCTTCTGACCCTCTCGTCTTCCTCCTCTTCCTCTTCTGACCCTCTCGTCTTCCTCTTCTGACCCTCTCGTCTTCCTCCTCTTCCTCTTCTGACCCTCTCGTCTTCCTCGTCTTCCTCAGGTGAACCTGGTGTCGGAGCACATCTGGTGTAACGACTTCCTGGTTCGTAGCTTTTACCTGAAGAATGTTCAGACGCAGGAGACTCGGACGCTGACGCAGTTCCACTTCCTGAGCTGGCCGGCGCAGGGCATCCCCACCTCCACGCGCCCCCTGCTGGACTTCCGCCGGTACTGCAACACAACACAACACACTCCTACAGCCGAAATACACACACACAACCGAACAATACACACTTTTTAATGACAGATAAAGCTGAATCTGTACGGTTTGTTTATTACTGTGTATATGGAGGAAGAATCTTGTGCATTTTTTGGAGTTTTGTAAATGAGTAAATGTGGAGACAATGATTTGATTGATGCTCTAAATGGATTCTGTAAATGTCAAATGTTTTCATTGCTCAACTGTCTCACTCTTACATCCAAAAGATCCAACTACACTTTTTACAATTTGTGTTTAAATATTATTACTCAAAGTTCTCTCGGTACTTTTCTGATTCCGTTTAGAACATCATTTAGATCATTCACGTCACACTGAACAACTATTTTTTAATGTTCCTACGATAAAAAAAAAGAATTTTTTTCAATTTTTTCAATAATTTACAAATGTAGGTGTGTTGTTTAGTGTCTTTTATTTTGTTTTTTCTTTTCTGTAAATTCTGTTTTTGTTCATGTATTTAGGAGGCCCTCACAAACGAGATGTTGCTTCTTCCCTTATAAATAAATAAATAAATAAATAAATGATGATGTAACTTTGAGAGTCGTGAAAAGAGCTGTCTTTATGTCTTTATACGTCACTTTTCCTTTTTTTTGTTTCAGAAAAGTGAATAAATGCTACAGAGGACGCTCGTGCCCCATCATCGTTCACTGCAGGTGAGTGTTTTTGTAGTACCTCAGATGACCACCAGAGGGCAGACTTGTACAGGCTTTAAACAGCTCTGTCGTGTCTCTCAGTGTTTCACCATAAAAACACTTTTTCTGAGCCTGTTATATTTATATTTTCTGTGTTTTTGTGTTTGTCAGTGATGGAACAGGACGCACAGGGACCTACATCCTCATCGACATGGTTCTGAACCGCATGGCCAAAGGTCAGTCTGAGCTCTTGTTGTAGTCAGGACCGCACTAATCGAGACCAAGACCAGTCCGAGACCACAGGGTCCCGAGACCAGGACAAGACCAAGACCTCTAAGAGTCGAGACTGAGATAAGACCGAGACTTTTAGAGGTTGAGACCAAGATAAGACCGAGACCACGGCCCATCGAGTCCAAATCAAGACCAAATCAAGACCATCTCCATCATGTTGTACATTTATTTATGCAGTTATTTTGTCACATACTGTTTATATATCAATGTTTTTATAAATCTGTCTCCATTTTATCACTCTTGGAGTATCAAAACTTGAGACCGAGACAAGACCGAGTACAAACGCAGTGAAGAAGAGTCTTGGTTTATAAACTCTGTGAGACTAAAGGTGTTTTTGTGTTATTTTTGTTCAGGTGTGAAGGAAATCGACATCGCTGCGACGCTGGAACACGTCCGAGACCAGAGACCCGGGATGGTCCGCACCAAGGTCAGAACCACGGTCTAAAACAGGGTCTAAACCAGGTCTAAACCAGATCTAAACCAGGTCTAAACCAGGATCTAAACAAGTTTATATACCAGGGTCTAAACCAGCATGTAAATCAGGATCTAAACCAGGGTCTAAACCAGAATTTAAACCAGTTTATATACCAGGGTCTAAACCAGGTCTAAACCAGACCAGGGTCTAAACCAGGGTCTAAACCAGGATCTAAACCAGTTTATATACCAGTCTAAAACAGTATCTAAACCAGGGTCTAAACAAGGATCTCAACCGAGGTCTAAGCCGAGGTCTAAACCAGGTATAGATCCTGTTTTACCGGTATTAAAACTAGGTTCAGAACCAGGGGCAGAACCAGGGTCTAAACCAGGATCTATACCGGGATCTAAACCGGGATCTAAACCGGGATCTAAACCGGGATCTAATCCAGGGTCTAGTATAATAAGTATAATATAATATAATAAGTAATAATTATAGTAAATATAATCAGATAAATGTAACAAGAAGTTTTTCTCACAGTTTAATCTTTTGCTACTGAACATCAAAATCCCAGTTCTTTGTTATTTATTCTTTTTGTATTTGTTGTTCTTCCAGGACCAGTTTGAGTTCGCTCTGACGGCCGTCGCTGAGGAGGTGAACGCCATTTTGAAAGCTCTTCCTCAGTGACCCCCGCGTGACCCCTGCGTGACCCCGGCGTGACCCCCGCGTGACCCCTGCGTGACCCCCGCGTGACCCCTGCATCTGTGCGTCAACACGGCTCGGACAAGATGGCCGACCCCAAAACAGCGAGCATTTAAAACGTGAAAACAGAAAAACACAACGAGTCTGAAAAACGAAACACGACGACAACATCCAGCTACTACTACTACTACTACTACTGATACCGATACTGATACTACTACTACTGCTGCTGCTACTACTACTACTATCAGTACTATCACTACTACTAGTACTCCTATTGCTGCTGCTGCTAGTACTACTGACTACTAACTAAACTAATTATACACTATTACTCTTCAAATACTACTTTTATGTCTTCTACTACTGCTAGAACTATTATTACTACTACTGCAACTACTAAAGTACTTCTACTACCAGTATTACTACTACTACTACTACTATTACTACTACTACCACTTCAACTATTACTGCAAGTACTATAACTTCTTCTACTGCTAATACTAGTAATTAGTTTTGCGAGTGCTACTAAGGTACTACTACTACTACTGCTGCTACTAGTACTACTACTACCTCTTCTACTACTACTACTACTACTTCTATTACTACTACTACTACTATTACTGCTAGTACTACTACTACTACTAGTACCGTTGTTAGTGGTACTGTAAGTGCTACTAAGGTACTACTACTACTACTACTTATACTACTACTTCTACTACCACTTTGACTCTTATTACAAGTACTATAACTTGTACTACTGTCAGTACTGTTGTTATTAGTTTTGCAAGTGCTACTAAGGTACTACTACTATTACTACTACAACTATTACTATTACTACTACTACTACTACTACTAGTACCGTTGTTAGTGGTACTGTAAGTGCTACTAAGGTACTACTACTACTACTACTTGTACTACTACTAGTATTACTACTACCACATTGACTATTATTACAAGTACTGTAACTACTACTGTTAGCACTGTTTTGAGTAGTATTGCAAGTGCTACTAAGGTACTACTACTACCACTACTACTACTACTACTATTTCTACCACATCAGCTATTATTGAAAGTACTATAACTTCTACTACTCTTGGTACTTTTGTTATTAGTTTTGCAAGTCCTTCCAGGGTACTACTACTATTACTACTATTACTTTCACTACTACTACTACTACTACTACTACTACTACTACTATTACTACTACAGTTATTACTACTACCACTACTATTTCTACCACATCAGGTTTTATTGCAAGTACTGTAACTTCTACTATTGCTAGTACTTTTGTTAGTAGTATTGCAAATGCTACTAATGTACTACTACTACTACTATTACTACTACTACTTTTACTACTACTACTACTACTGCAAACAATAAAAGCCCCAATAAAAATTTATTAAAATTTAAACTAGGGTTAAGTCAGAGGTAAACTTGGGACTAAACCAGGACTAAACCAGGACTAAACCAGGACTGAACCAGGACTAAATGAGATCTAAACCAGGTCTAAACCAGGTCTAAACCAGGACTAAACCAGGACTAAACCCGGACTAAACCCGGACTAAACCAGGTCTACTCTCTCCGGTGTTACTCGTGTGGTTGAAGCTTTGACATGAGTCTTGTTTACAGTTCCGTCCCTTTAACCCGCCGCCTAAAGCCCCAGAGTTTACCAAAATAAAACAAGCATGAATTTAAAAACACCAGACTAAGCTTCATCCTCCCTCCTTTCCTTCCTCCTCCTCCTCGTCTCTTCGTCTCCTATCTCCTCTCCTATCTCCTTCCCTACCTCCTGTCACCTTTCCTCAGCACTGAAGTGAATCCAAGGCTGTTTTCGTGCTTTAAAACGGTTGTCTCCACTCCCTCCGTGTCCGTGTTGAATGTAATTGTTCTTGCAAATGAAAAAATAAGCTAAAAATAAATTTAAAGCTATTCTATTCTATAAAAGATGTCTATTTTGTAACTCGTGAAACTTAAAATAATAAACTTTTTGTGTTTAAGTGCTGCAATCACGCCCTGTGTGTTCTCTGACTTCAATTATTTATTATATAGAGATTTAAAATATAAAGAATACATTTAATATCATATTTTTAGTTAGTTATTCATTTTTATTCAGTGTGCTGCTAAGACTATATATATATATATATATATATATATATATATATATATATATATATATATATATATATATATATATATATATACATTTATAAATGTGTTTCTCACCTTCCACGGTGGTTGGTCTCACCCTCATTCAGCTCGGGTCGTCTACCAGAGGCCTGGGAGCTTGACAGTTCTGCGCAGTATCTTTGCTGTTCCCAGTACTGCACTTTTCTGGACTGAGATGTTCCATTGTTTTTCCCGGTATCTGTTGAAGCCTCTTCCAGTTTGGGGGTTACAGCCCCGAGTGTCCGATCACCACAGGCACCACTGATGCCTTTACTTTCCAGGCTCTCTCCAGCTCTTCCTTGAGCCCCTGGTATTTCTCTAGCTTCTCGTGTTCCTTTTTCCTGATATTACCATCGCTTGGTATTGCGATGTCAACCACCACGGCTCTGCTCTGTTTCTTATCCACCACCACTATGTCTGGTTGGTTCGCCATCACCATTCTGTCAGTCTGTATCTGGAAGTCCCACAGGATCTTGACTCGGTCATTCTCCACATATATATATATATATATATATATATATATATATATATATATATATATATATATATATATTTTGTTTAACCTAAATATAACAAGCAAATAAAATGGTAAAAGACTGTTTATTTAAACTTTTAATGTTTTTATTTATTTTATTTATATTATTTATTTTTATTTATTTTTATTTATGTATTATTTATTTATTTTATTTTATTTATTTTTATTTATAATAAAATATGATTAATTTGTATCTTGATGACACATGCGTATTACTTTGCTGTTAGATTGGTCCACTTTTTTATTTATTTATTTCATTTATTTATTCATTTTACTTTTTTTTTTTTTTTTTTTTTACTTATATATAAGCGGAACCTTTGTTGCGTGTTTTTTGTTCCTCCTCAGTCCCTGTTCTGAGCTGCACGGAAGAAGCGCCTGACCAGCCGTATGTAAACAAACTTTTCTTTCTTTATTTAAGTGTCTTATATTATTAAAATCCAAACACGTGAATGTTTAGTTTATAGTCGAGACTTTGTTTTATTAAATTATCATTCAGTTTTCCACGAACAATGGCTAATTATTATATATTTGATCGTTTTTGCAGCAGAGTCAGTTTATGAATGAAGCTCGTTTTAACGACGAAAATAGTTTATTTACGCTCCTTTTAAGCTCATTATATCACTGCAGCTAAGTAAGGCCGTATTTAAATGTAATTTTGGTGTGAATTAGACATCAGCATTACATTTTACTTACCTTTGTAACCATTTTTTTCTCTGTGGGTTTTAATGAACATTTTCGTGTCTTGTAGCGTTTAAAGATTTAAAGTTTTACATGTGGGATTCATTAAAATACAATATTATTAAACCATCCTATAATGGGCACAGTTATCATAGAAAAATGGAATAAAACTTCTAAGCACTGGACTTGACAATAACAAAAAATATACAGTATATTTTGAGTAAAACAGAATTAAATAAATCATATTTTACCTCATGGAACTTAGAGATGAACTATGACCCTCAATTATACCAAGTGTCTGTGGATTTATAAACCACTATGTATAAAAACTATCGTGTACTTGTGTGTGTGTGAACATCGACATTTATTGGATTGTGTGTTTGTATTTTGTATGTGTGTGTACCAAAAGAATTAATAACAATATTCAAATTTCTCCGCTTAAAATAGCTTTATCAGTCCATCAATTGTTTTAGCCTTTTTGTTAGGAAAAAGATGATCTCACAACTAATTCTTCCACCAACTAATGTTCCACCAACTGTCCTGCTCACTCTGTCCTCCCCATGTCAACTTCACTGTTTTTATTAATCTTTAAACGCATTAATCTCAGTTTTTCTGAATATCTCAAACAGTATTTAATTCCATGCAGATTCTCTTACAGTTTACGTCACACTGATCAGATATTTTTTGTCGTCCCAAGAGTCAAAAAACAAACAGGAAAACACTCATTTAAATATAAAGCTCCTTCTGATTGGAACAATCTTCCTTCATCGATTCGTGCATTAACTTCAGTCCCTTCGTTTAAAGATGCTCTTGTTCAATATTTACACAACCCATGTCATTGTTTTTGATCATTTTGTTGAATTTTTGTTGTTCATCTTGTTGTGATTATCTTTGAACTCTGTTGTTTTTTTGCTTTTTTTTTTTTTTTTTCCTCAAACTTGTTTTAATTATATGTCAAACAGTCAAGTGTGTGTGAGTGTGTGTTTGTGGTTGTGTTGATTTTGTTGTTTTGATGCTTTTTTCAATTTATGTATCCTAGTGTCTGCCCGACTGTATCTGTGTTTTGTTGTTGTGAGGACCCCCTCGAAAACAAGGGGCTTATTCTCCAAATAAATAAATTCTAAATTCTCGACACGGTATTTTCACGATGTACTTCCAACTTTACGATACTTATTGCGATATTTTAGAGGGTAACAAAATAAAGAAAGTGCCACTGGGTCATTCCACGCCATTTCACCAAATGGCCCACGCACTTCGATCTCAAAAAAATTAGAAAAAATGACCAAATAGTCACTTACTATCATGTACCAACCCTGTTAAGTTTTAGTGATTTTCGATCATTACTTTTCAAGTTACAGCTCATTTAGTGAGGGGGGTATGTGCCAATTTTCGGGCCCAAAATTGCATCATTTTTTCTCGTCCGTTTTCACAGGTCGATATCTCTGTAAGTATCACACATAGAGGCTGAAATTTTGTAGACTTATGCTCCTCTACTCTGTGTTCAAATAACATCTGTCGAAAGTTTGGTAACTCATTGTCATTTTATATGAACTTAAAAATGAAAAAAAAAAAATCTGTAGCGTACCATTTTTAGCCCCTTTTTAAACCTACTTGTAGGTGTCGGAGACCCTTAATTTTTTTTTTGAGAATCAAGACA